TTCGAAACAATAATCTAAACTGCTCAACACATGAAACGTAAAATCGCATTTTTTCGATCAAATTTGAATCATCCTAACTTTCGATTTTCTCAACCGATTTTCAATTATTATTCAGTTTCTGAAAGCTCGTTTCATTGACTATCGAACCTATGGATATGACTATTTGATCTTTTCCAGATGAGATTATCTACAGGATGATAATCAAAGCTGCGCATTTTTCCAAAAATTTCAAACCTCCGCCCCGTTTGATAGAAAAATTTTTCTATTTTTTTTTGGGTCAAAAACATATTGCTTCATATGTTTTCTCGATACTGTGGAAAAATTTTTGGAATTGTCACACGCGTTACTGAAATATGAATGTTTTATTAAGATAATGCATAATTTAATGCTTAATTTCTATTGGCTTTGTGTTCCTGTCAATCTGAATCGAACGGTGGTCAAAATCTTCAAATGATGCATGATCAACCCATTCTTATATACAGGGTGTTCCTCAAACAACAATTATGACATCAAGCAATTTAAAAAAATCTTGTTTTGACAAGCAAGAAAATTTCTGAGTCAGGATACTCTTCATTACATATCCATGTGACTCACGTCTGCAATTTTTTTGAATTTCGACATATAAGTCCTTTGTGAAGACGTTCACCGCAAATTAAATAATATCCTGATACTCATTGATCTACTACAATTGTGATGAATTCTGTCAGTTGCATGGTATGTCTCGACAGACATTTTTTTATGTAGACGAAATCCTGAATATTTCTTCAGTCTATCTCATTTGCCTTGAAATTATCTTCTAAAAATCTATCACAAAGTGAGAACGACGCTCTGAAAATCCGGTTTTCCTCACAATTCCAGTGGTTTGATCTTGCCATAGATTCTGTCGCAACGTGACATGGTGATGAATGATGACAACCTCTCCTACAACGCTTTGGTCGCCAGAAAACCTCTCAATCGGTTTCCTGCTTCGAAATTTTCTTGCTCGTCAAAACACGTTTTTTTTTATTATTTGATGTCATAATTGTTGTTTGAGGACCACCCTGTATGTAAGAATAGGTTGATCATGCATCATTTCAAGATTTTTGACCACCGTTCGAACCAGATTGACAGGAACACAAAGCCAATAGAAATTATTAGAGCATCAAATTATGCATTATCTTAATAAAACATTCATATTCCAGTAACGCGTGTGACAATTCCAAAAATTTTTTCACAGTATCGAGAAAACATATGTAGCAATATGTTTCTGTCCAAAAAAAAATTTAAGAATTTTTCTTTCAAACGGGAGACGTTTGAGATTTTTTGAAAAATGCACAGCTTTGATTATCATCCTGTAGAATCTTATCCGGAAAAGTTTAAATAGTCATATCCATAGGTTCGATTGTCAATGAAATGGGGTTTCAGAAACTGAAAAATAATTGAAAATCGGTTGAGGAAATCGGAAGTAATGAAGATTCAAATTTGATCGAAAAAATGCGATTTTACTTTTCATGTGTTGAGCAGTTTATATCGATTTTCGATACGGAATTTTTTTGTGCATTGTATTTCAGATAATGCAGAAATATCATGGTCCAATGAAATGAACATAAACCCATAGCATTTGTCAAATAATTTTGCAAAAACAAAGATAAAACAAAAATAAAATCATCAAAATATATTTATTTCATAATATCAAATATAAACACTAAAATTATATGTACAAATCAAAATAACAAATGATAAAATGCAAAATCTAAAATCCTTAGAACGTTTAATCATAATTGTTTTCCACTTTACACAAATATAATTTGATTAAAAAATGATTTGCTATAATTTTCATTACCTATGTTTTGAATTTCGTGTAATCATTGAAACAAAATACATAAAAAATAAATAACTATAAATAAACAACAATAGTAAGTAACAAAATCTGCTGTACTTAAGCAATGTACTTATCATCAAATCAAAACTATTTACTTGTGTCATAGCAATATCGTGTTTCCTTTAGTTTTGTTTCTATTGGGCTGGGGATATTTTAATCCAGACATCCAGAATCACGAAATGTGCTGTTTCCTTTACTCGAATATTTGAAAAATCTTCACCTCCATATTTTAAATGCCATTGGGTTTGCTGGCCATTAGTTGAAATTTAATTCATTTTTGGAAACTACTCAAAAACAAAAGGTTAATGTTCCTTATCTTTTCTTTTCTGATTGACCTTCTGTATGATTTTTTTTATATTCATAGAAATGTAACTTACTGAACGCATCCTGCTTGATGAAAATACATGTTTTGTTTCATAAAGAATACGAGAAAATATCTGTTGAGCAAGAATCTGAAAAATTGTTGCGATGTCATTTATTTCTTGTGTGTCATGCGTCTATCAATAGTCAAATAAATCATCTCTTGCAAGTTTGAAGACTAAATCGTCCTCCATTCTCTTTGGGTACCTATCATATTCTCTCCTTTGCGTAATCAATTGTATAAGGTTTCGAAAGAATCCGACTATAAAATTTGAAATGAAGCCACTGCTATAGTTAGATTTTGTGAATGTCGCTGCGGCCTGTACGAGGTAAACCTAAAAATCCTTGACATAACGAGAAATGTCCACGATGATATCATTTAACATGTATCATGTAACAGTTATACAATTGTTACAATTAACAATTATGAGTTGAATTTCATATTTTCCAATGACTGTGTTTATACAGACATTTAAAAATTATCATTTATCAAGTAACATGTAGAATGTTGGCCAACTTTTAACTTCTTACATTAAATGAACCAGATTTTCCTATTGTGCGCAACCTTGTACGCAAATTTTCTCGGATTGGTCCGCCCGGTAATGATATTAACCTAAAAATTAAAAAAACTGGCCGTCAACAGCATCATCAGGACAAAAAGCGCTTCTGCCTCATTCTCAAATGTTAATATGTTCATAACATTTGAGAATGTATTATTTTTACACATAAAAAAAGGAGGGTTAGGTTGAAAGGACTGACTTGTGCGCATGCGTATAATTTCTTCTTAAATGTTAATTTGGTCTGCATATATGGTACCATTTTCGCTACTTGTTACATGATAAATGTTAATTGATAATTGTCACATGATACATGTTAAATGACGCTGCATGAATCCACACTAAATTGTTGGGAACGAAAGGGGGAACTTCGTTACCGTATTTAGAGGGAAACCGCTGCCTGTATGAGGCACATCTCCAATAAGTCCTTGGCAGGATGGCAGAATGGGAAATATGTACGATCGAATCCACCATCTCTTGCACGGCAGTCACCGAAAGAAACTGCATCAGATAACGCGTTTGCGCAGTACAGAATCATTTCTTTGTTCTCCCTGCAAGAGATGTTCTTGTGGACAGTCTCCGATGGAATCATCTCTTGCAATTTTGAAAACTAATTTTTTCTCCTCTTTCATTGGGTACTAATCGTTTTTTTGCCTAATTTATCATTTAACCTTTCAAAAGAAGCCACTGCCATAGTAAGCACAAAAAGGGACTTTATGAGACTGTGTCAAGTCCTTCGTACGAATATAGTGGTGATACCAGAATCGTCAATGGCTGAATTGAATCTCATCCAGAAGTTGACGTAGTAACTTTGTGATCAGTTTTGAAACCTGACCAATATTCCCCAACAGACTTATGATGATATTTAATCCGGTAAAACCAGAGACTTGACACAACCTAAGAAAGAAAGTTACCGTTAAATTTAGAGTGGCACCGCTGCCTGTACGAGGCACATCTTCAAGTCCTTGGCAGAATGGAAAATATCCACGATGGAATCCACCATCTCTTGCACGGCAGTCACCGAAGGAAACTGCATCAAATAACGCGTTTGCGCAGTACAGAATCATTTCTTTGTTCTCCCTGCAAGAGATGTTCTTGTGGACAGTCTCCGATGGAATCATCTCTTGCAATTTTGAAAACTAATTTTTTCTCCTCTTTCATTGGGTACTAATCGTTTTTTTTCCCCAATTGAATCATTTAACGTTTCGAAAAAAGCCACTGCCATAGTAAACACGAAAAGGGACTTTATGAGACTGTGTCAAGTCCTTCGTACGACCATAGTGGTGATACTCGAATCGTCAATGGCTGAATTGAATCTCATCCAGAAGTTGACGTAGTAACTTTATGAGCAGGTTTGAAACCTGACCGATATTCCCCAACAGACTTATGATGATATTTTATCCGGTAAAACCAGAGACTTGACACAGCCTAAGAAGAAAAGTTACCGTGGAATTTAGAGGGGTACCGCTGCCTGTACGAGACACATCTTCAAGTCTTTGGCAGAATGGGAAATATCCACGATGGAATCCACCATCTCTTGCACGGCAGTCACCGCAGGAAACTGCATCAGATAACGCGCTTGCGCAGTTCAGAGTCCGCTCTGTGATCTCCCTGCAAGAGATGTTCTTGTGGACAGTCTCCGATGGAATCATTTCTTGCAATTTTGAAAACTAATTTTTTCCCTCTTTCATTGGGTACTAATCGCTTTTTTGCCTGAATGATCACTTAACGTTTCGAAAGAAGCCACTGCCATAGTAAGCACGAAAAGGGACTTCATGAGACTGTGTCAAGTCCTTCGTACGACCATAATGTTGATACCCGAATCGTCAATGGGTAAATTGAATCTCATCCAGAAATTGACGTAGTAACTCTGTGAGCAGGTTTGAAACCTGACCGATATCCCCAACTGACTTATGATGATATTTAATCCGGTAAAATCAGAGACTTGACACAGCCTAAGAAGGAAAGTTACCGTGAAATTTAGAGGGGCACCGCTGCCTGTACGAGGCACATCTTCAAGTCCTTGGCAGAATGGGAAATATCCACGATGGAATCCACCATCTCTTGCACGGCAGTCACCGAAGGAAACCGCATCAAATAACGCGTTTGCGCAGTTCAGAGTCATTTCTTTGTTCTCATTGCACGAGATGTTCTTGTGGACAGTGTCTCTGATGGAAGCATCTCTTGCAATTTTGAAAACTAAATTGTTTCCCTTCCTCTTTGGGTATTTATCTTTATTTTTGCCTAATTGATCGTTTAACGTTTCAAAAGAAGCCACTGCCATAGTAAGCACAACAAGGGACTTTATGAGACTGTGTCAAATCCTTCGTACGGCCATAGATGTTGCCGTAGTAACTTTGTGAGCAGGTTTGAAACCTGACTGATATCCCCAACAGACTTATGATGATATTTTATCCGGTAAAACCAGAGACTTGACACAGCCTGATAAGGAAAGTTACCGTGAAATCTAGAGGGGCACCGCTGCCTGTACGAGACACATCTTCAAGTCCTTGGCAGAATGGGAAATATCCACGATGGAATCCACCATCTCTTGCACGGCAGTCACCGAAGGAAACTGCATCGCCGCCTGCTTGGTTTTACTGACGCTGCAAGCCAACGCGTCAGATAGTGCGTTTGCGCAATTCAGAGTCCGCTCTTTGATGTCCCTGCAAGAGATGTTCTTGTGGACGGTGTCTCCGATGAGGACGAGCTTGTGGGCGCTCAAAACGACGAATTTGCCGTGAGCGAGGAAGATCCTGGGCGGCTGGTTGTGTTCGACTGTTTGCAGGAAGGCGTCGATGGCGAGCGTCAGGTTGTTGTGATGCGTCACCACTTGGTTGGCGTAGAAGATCAGCAGGCGTTTGTCGTCGGAGTCTAGCCCGAAGGCTTTGTGGTCCCTGCAAGAAAGCTGCTATGAACACGGCCATCTTAAAATATGCTGGGACACACAGGAAATTAGAGCCATTTTGGAAAGTAAAGATAGCAAATTATACATTTTCTCTACAAACGTCGAAAAATGACAAGGTTCGCGCATTGAATACAAATGGCGAAGTGACACTTTTCTTCAGTTTCCTACGTTACCATGATACCTTGCAGAAAACAATGCGCGAAGTAAAACAGTGCGTGTAGTACCTACTTCGCGCATTGTTATGTGAAATATATGAGATATTTATATATTTCAACTTTGTGGTCCTCAATCGAGCAAACATCTACGAAATCACGAAAAGAGAGCAACTCAAAGTCGTTTCTCTCTCTTTGTGACCATTGCACTTTGAGTATTTCGCTTTTTCCCTAGTTGGATCCATGAAATCATTCATTTCTGAATGTTCAACATAACATTGTTTTATCTCTTGGAGCGCACGAAAAAAATTCCTATTTTGTTCGTGGAACATCGTGCGTACCTAGGGAGGATTGAGGGAGGCCTTTTAAGCCAGTTTAACACTATTTTTATATCAAGCTAAGTATATTTCCACTTTAGAACCATATTTTTTGACGTTTGTAGAAAAAATGTTGTTTGCAACTCGAGCGCGAAATACTTTGGTCATCTCTACTATTTTTTTAACTCGGCTACGCGTTGTTGAAAAAATCAGATCTCGATCACCAAAGTATATCAACAACTGTAAATTGACAAACAAAGAATAATATTTGTGAAAAAAAAATGGCATGTTCAATTTTATCCAGTTCGCTCAGAAATAATCAATTTTTTCACTTCATTTTTGAATGAACCTATATTTCTGCAATTTTTTATATTGTTAGGTAGTTTATTGAATTCAGTTAAGGCTGAATGAGTGAATCTTTTTTGTCCGATAATGGAGCTAGCGGCGTCAAGATGAAACAAGTTATATTGTCTTGTTTCATGATTATGAATTTCAGAATTCCATATCACATAAAATTCGACTTCAATTTTTTATTTATGATATTATATGATATTTTGAGAGTTTCAATTCTATATATTTCATCTAAAGAATACGTATTTGTTATTTCAAACAATTGATTGGTTGGTGTATCAAATGGGAGACGATACAGTACTTTTAACGATTTTCTATATAATGTTGATATTTTATTGAAATTGTTCTTTGGACAAGTTCCCCAAACAGTTATTAAATAGTTGATACGACTCAGTATATGAGAGTAGAGAATCATGTTTGCAATTTTAATATCAAGTTTGGGACATCTTCTCAGTGCACCAATAATTGGAGATTTTTTTTTTGTCAGAACATCAATATGTTTGTCCCACTTCAACCTGTCATCAAACCAAATTCCAAGATATTTTATCTGGTCAGTTTGTTTTAAGAGTTCATTTTTCATTTTAAGGTTGAGGTAAATTTTTTGTTTATTTTTTTGGTGAAAAATCATATATTCTGTTTTTTTAGTATTTATCGATAAAAGGTTAGAGTGTAGCCATTTTTCAAATATTTTCAAGTCTTCATTTATCATATTTTCTAAATCTGAAGGATTCTTGCCTTCATATAAAAGTACTGTATCATCTGCATACATGGTATATTTACTCGTGAGACCAATTTCACTGATATTTTGAACATAAAGTAAAAATAGTATAGGTCCTAAAACAGAGCCCTGTGGGACACCCTTATTGTGTCTAGCATTGTTTTTTGAACCACTTATTCCTGATTGCTGATATAATTATTGTGCTTCATGAACTTTATATGTGAGGTCACTGATTTCTCACAGCTTCATCTGGTGAAATGTTTTACTTTTGAGTGCTATTCTTTTATTTGCAAAATTTGTCTATTCCCATGAATATTACCTACCTGTCATGATGGAATGCAGCACTCTGTATGTGATATTATGATCTATTCGAATAGAGGGATTTATGAGGTAGGAATTAGACGTGGAGCGTTTATTTTTTACTGAATATTTATCACAACTTAGAGCACATAATTCAAATCTATGCAAAATATTCTAAACAGCCAAAATCAAATGATTGACACCCTGTAGCTCGAAAACTGGTCATAGGATCGAACTGTGAATTGAACTATGTAATATGGGCGCTATATATCTGAAACATATCAAATTTCAGAAAAAATAGCTGAATATATCAATTCACTTGCAATGATTCCGCAAAGTTAACCCCACCATTCGCGATTTCATTCATTTATTGGCGCTTAAAATTGTTGACGTATACCGCTTTAATGAAGGATATCAATTATCTTGCAATGATTCCATAAAGTTATCCCCCACCATTCACGATTGCATTCATTGATTTATTGGCGCTTGAAATTGTTGACGTATACCCAATCAGCACCAGACATCTTAAAGACGTACATTTTACAACTTACTTACGTCTTTACGTCCAGGGACGTATGAGGTACGTCTTTAAGATGTAAATCCATGTACATCTTAAAGACGTACACGAATTTACGTCTTTAAGACGTACATTTTAGGTCGTATCCACGTCGTTCCTCCCATGTATAAAAGACGTCTTAAAGACGTACATTCCAGTACGTCAATTCGACTTATAGAACAATAATGTAAGTTATTTTCTGAAGAAAAACAAAATGTCATCTCTTCACGTTTTTTATTTTCAATTGTTCAGTTTTTCCTTATTTTCAACAAAAGTGATGTTTTTGAAATTTTTCGTCCGACATTTTGGAGCCTTCGTGTTAGATTCTCGAATTTTTTCAAAAAAATCATATTCTCCGACCCCAAAAGTCCCATAGTGGTCAATTTTGAATAAAATCGGACTATAATCACAAAACTCGTCCGCCATTTTGAAGCCGACATCTTGGATTTTTCATTTTCGACAAAAGGAATTATGATCTCTGATCCCGAAATCCTCCAGATTCCAGATGCCAATTTTGAATCAGATCAGACCATAATCAGAAAACCATATGCCACATCGTCCGCCATATTGGATCCGTCATTCTGTTTTTTCCATTCAATAATAATATCACAACGAATTGTCACCGGAATAATATTTACTTGCCAAATTTCAAATAAATCGGACGATTTAAAGTGAGTCAAATTTAACTCGCACGTTTTGATTACAAACAGACACAAGGACATGTTAAACTAAGTAAAAGCTTGTTATGTGATATATAGAACAAACAGAGTAACAGAAGAAGTGAATATGGTATAATCATCGAAGTCAAGCAACAAAGAGCGCGGTTAGTACTTGAATGGGTGACCGCTTGTGTCTACCGTTTGATGAAGTCGTTTATTTTCCTTTTTTTTTGCTTGTCTGCACTTGTTGCTAACTTCAGTGCACAGGTGAAAATCAACTGAAACTATGTGATTTTTCCGTAATTTGAAAGATCAATTTGAGGTCATGGACCAAAAACACCTAAAAAAGACGTCTTAAAGACGTACATATTAGTGGAAAATGTACGTTTTAAAGACGTCTTAAAGACGTCTCTTGGGCGTAATATGTACGTCTTTAAGACGTACTTATGTCCCGACATGTACGTCTTAAAGACGCCTTTAAGACGTACTTTGGCTGATTGGGTACTTGCTTTTATGAAGGATATCAATTCTCTGGCAATGATTCTGCAAAGTTATCTCCACCATTCGTGATTTCATTCATTTATCCGTGTTTGGCGCTCAAAATTGTTGGCGTATACTCATTTTTCAATTATTTATGATCGAATCACGGTGAATTGTTATTTAGTTTGAGACATACCCATCGAAGGCGACAGTGTCTGCCAATTGGACGCAGTTGTCGTAGTTCTGTTGCAAGTTGGGCGGCAATTCCTTGATGATCTCCGCATGGTTCTTCGACATGTTCTCCTTCGATTCGAAGCTGACGTAGTCGTACTCTTCGCCCCACTCCTGGTGGTCTTTTTTGAAGAGAAGAAGACCGTTGCCCTGGATGAAGGAGGCTATTTGCCGGATGTCCTCGGTTAGGGCTCTCGAACAGGCTACCAGTTGTTCGAGTTCGTCGGGTTTTCTCGGTTTTTCTTCAATGGTGGGTCTGGCGAGGACGTCGAGAGACCAGTTGTGGGCGGAGAGGTTGTCGGAGGCTTCCTGTACTAGGCTGTAGGATTTTTTCAAGGCCGAAACGAGGGGTGATAATTTACCTGCAAGATAATGATGACTTTATTCCATTTACTTGGTTTCTTCGTTGGATTTTTTTATATTAGAGTGTGTCCAAGCTGAATCTTGTCATCCCAGCCCCTATCTCTGAAGTCGTAGAATGATAGAATTGTCGACTCATTGATTTTATTTCAATATGGGTAGGAACTGGAAACTTTCGTTGAAAAAGGAGTTTTGATAATTTTATATTTACTAGAAATTCACAATTATAATACAATATAAATCGTTCCATCCATCTTGATTCTGCAAACTCTGTAATTGGCCAAAAGCATAGACCTATAAGAGATTTATTCACGATTTTCACAAAAACTTTGTTTATAATAATGTATTTTTCTGCCTGTGGACGCTTCACATTTGTCAGATGTCAGATGCCATCAGATATTCCAGTTTTAACTAATTCAAATTGAAGGTAATAAAGCGATTTGTTCCCATTGGAAGAATTTGAATTAATTCACGGATTGAATCACTGACTCAAGTCATATGAATTAATTCGTGCCAACCCTGATTGTGTTGCACTACACTGTGTAAACGCCTCGACACGTGTTTCGCTAACTATGTTAGCATCTTCAGGAGACGATTGGAACTTTATCGCAAAGACCATATATAAGACGACATCGAAGCGATTTTAACGAACACAACAGCCAGGATAAGAAACTTCGACTATGTTTACTCTGTGACTCTGCGTTCTAGCATCTGACATGCATACAGTTGAAGCAGATACAATCGCACTGGCCATATAAGGCGATTTTGAAGGGTATATAACGAATACAACAGGCAGATGAAGATACATCGACTTCTATTCTATTCTATCATCTCACATGGATACTATTGGAGCAAAATAGATCGCAAAGACCATATGAGACGACATCGAAGCGGGTATAACCGTTACCATCGATACAACAAGGCCTGCATGCTCCGTGGGTGACGTCACTTAGTCAGGCCTAACCAGCGGCTCGAAACGACAAGCGCTTATAGCGCTATAAGGCGACCGCGTATTTCGATTTTAGTTTTAGATCATCATTGAGCCGATTTTGCTGTTTTTTGAAGGGCTTCCGGTTAAAAAAGGATGCCAGTCGTCAACTGAGCCCTTCTTCGCACCCCATTCGATTTTATTATGGAAAAACGAAGTTTTAAAGCAAAAACCAGGATAAAACACAAATATCCACCTATACAGCAACTCATTCGAATTAAATATATTAGCAAAAATTGTGGTGAAGGTAAACTTCACACCTACTTATACGGGGCCCGCAGAACATAAACTTATCGTGAGATTGATCACAATTACCTATATTTATCTTGGAGAATTCCTATTACCTGAAAAAATAACCAGTGAGTGTTTTCAATTTTCTGTTGTTGGATTTTTCACCCAAGTGGATGTTACACTTGAAACCGTAATTTTTAAAGGTAAAAAAACTGCATTTATCATGCGATGGTTTTTTTTTTTGAAAATGTTTTTCGGTACTCACGTATTTTTGTCTGATAAACCGAATTTTATAATGAAAATGTGAACAAACCACTATTTATTGAGATATTTCAAGAAAAAGTTCGAAATTTCGCATTCTTTCTCCCCTTGTGTTGGGGGCATTTGAAGCTACTTGCTCTTATTTTGTCATTGGACACTTTATATACTCATGATGTACTTCGATGGCACATTTTTATATAGAAAATTCAACAGGAAATATGATTTTTATGGCGAGTGATAAATGCAGTTTTACCTTTTTAAGTTGAGTGTTTGTAGTTCATGTTAATATGATAGTTGCAATTTGATCATTGGAATGAATTCTGCATTCATTGCCACGAGGCAAATGACCGTTTTCAGAAAGAAATTTGAGAATGAGAATTAAAAATGCCCGTTAATTATGAACATTCAAGAAAATTTCCTCGAATTCAGAGATGATTTTGTTGACTATAATATACGAATACAAAACTAACTGCACAATCAAAGCTTTTCTATTTTTCCTTTACTTATACTTTTTATGAGAGAGTAATTGTCTTCTATTATTAATTCATCATTATAAATTAGGCTCTGTTTACTACTGAACTTAGATGGAGTAAAATCCTCGCGGTGAATTGCATATACCTACCCACATTTTCGATAGCTCCTCGTCCAACGGGAAACTAAAAGCATGAACTTATTTTGAACCACCCCCATAATTCCCTCGACAAAAGGGAACACACACTTGAAAGGCATTGTTATTTCGCCGATCACAACACAAAATATTTCAGAAAACAGTAATTTTTCCGCCAATTATTTTGATGAATAAACAACAAAAGAATTCGGGACCGTTTCAAAAACATACGTGAATCACCGATGAATTAACACGAACTGACGCGTTAGTCGACAAGCGATAAAATAAAACACTGGCCTCTCTTGGAGACGTCACGAGCTGTTTACGTCAGAGTCTGATGGCCTTGTTGTATCGGTGGTAACGGTATAACGCACACAACAGGCAGAACAAGAAACTTCAATTTCGAATATGTTTACACTGTGATTCTGCATTCTAGCATCTGACATGCATACAGTTGAAACAGATACGATCGCACTGACCATATAGGATGACTTTGAAGGGTATATAACGAGTACAACAGCATTCTAGTTGAAAGTTTGAAAAAAATTAGAGCAGATTTTCGGGGAACTAACTTTTAATCCCTCGAAATATACCTTTTGGAGAGAAACAAAAAAAAATATCTCAAAAACTATTAACTTTTGCATAATGCATATTAGGGTTCAATTTACTCCTCACCACCTTACCTATCACATCTCCAAAGTAATATATCGAATTGACAGTAACCCTGTATATGATTGTGTTGCCTTCAAAAAACTGCCAGAAGGCAATTCCTTTTGTTTGATTTTCAGGCAACAAAATTGTCATTTTCATTTCAACAAAAAATAGCTCTCGTGCAAACGAGTGAAAAAAAGTATCCTACCTGCCAAATTCTTGTCGGAAGCCCTAGCCGCGTTCCCCAAAGCCCCCTCCCCAAACTCAGCCAAATCGTGCAACGAAGCCCTCAGCCTCGTCACCGCCAGCCGGATCTCCATCAGACTGCCCCCCTCCAACCGCTCCCTGCTCCGCCATTGCGGTCCCACGTGACCCAATAGCTTCGAAATGGCTGCCGTCGTGTCGGTTTGCAGTCGCTCCAGACACTCCAACGCCGAATTCAGCTCCAACGGCAGCTGTTTGGCTTGCTGCGCATGCGCGGGCACATCGTAGGTTTGGGATTGGAGGAGTGGGGGTGTTTTTTTGTGGTGGGATTTGGGTACGTCGTAGTCGGGTATGGTGGTGGGAGTGAGGCTGCGGCGAGAGGGGGTTGAGGAGTCGAAGGTCGTGAGGGAGCTGGCTGAGCTCGAGGGGGTGAGGTTGTTGGTCGGGTGGCCTGAAAAGCGGGATGATAAGTTAGGTTAGGTTAGGTTGAAGCACAACCTCACTTTTCTTATTTGTGCCCATGATCGGAGATAAACTCATCTAAGGATTTCATTCAAGGATTTCAGGAAATTACAATCGCAAACTTTCAGTGACTATACATTGTGTCCTAAATTCGATCCTCACCATTGGTAACTCAGTAACTATAAAAGATAGAGAAACGGTTAAATTGGCAAAAGTTTCAGCAAATTCAATGTTTAATCAGAATCTATTGAGAAATCCGAGCTAGCTTTAGTCATTCTTGAGATATTTGTATTTTTGTTTTCTTCGAATGTCTGGGAAACTATTGATTTTATGAAAAAATGATTTCAACATTCTCATAGCACTTTTTGGTGTTCTTTCCAACGGTTTTGTCAGTTTTCCATCAAAATGTCAAATTTGTGAAATATCACCTACAACTTCAATTTTTCTTATCGACGCCATATTGGATTTTAACAGATTTGGAATCAGCATAAAATGTCCTTTCCAGTGATGTATCACAATCACAGTTTCATTCTACTTGGGGTACTGATTCCCAATTTTTGTTTTTATGTCCAGTAGGCAATGAATTCTGTAACTAATAAATAATACTCGAAATTATCTCCACGACAATTCATTATGTTGTGTTATTAGTTACTTCTTCACTCCCCATCACCATGACTTTAACCTTAGAATATGGATTCTGTGTTCTATGTTCTTGCAGAACTTGACAGGTGGATAATACAAATACTAAAAAAAATCAACTGCACTGCTCGAAATGGCCCCCATTGATCTCATACATTCGAGCGAACATGATTCGCTGCTTTTCTCAGATGAACTCTGTTGATGTGCTTTAATGTGACCATCACTCTATCTCGTAGATCATCAATATCTTGAATTGGCTCTTCATAAATTTTATTTTTCGCGTAGCCCCACAGGTAAATATCGAGAGGCGTACAATCAGGCGACCTTGGAGGCCATCTAACAGGTCCATGAGTATTATTAATTAATTTAGCATCAAATTGATTTTCGAGATATTCCCTAACCAATCGCGTATTGTGCGGTGGGGCTCCATCTTGCTGAAACCACATTAACTCATATTCAGCAAGTGGTATCTCGTTTTTGAAATTCTAAATCTCATTTCTCAATAGCTCTAAATAACGTGGACAATTCAAGATATAATCGTAGATTATTGGACCTAGTAGTCTACTGTCTGAAAAAAATACACAATAGGAAACAGTTATTTATGGACAAAAATTCTAGTAAGGTACCAAATATCCCACACCAAACATTGAAACCAAATTTGTTTTGCTACTTCGATTCTCTGATGGCATGAGGATTATGTTGTGGCCAATATTGATGATTATGTTTATTGTAAGTTCCATCATTATGAAATATCGTTTCATCGGTCCAGCAGATATTCTATAAAAGTTGTGCCAGAACACATAATCGTTATTGTTTAAAGAGAGTGTAGTGCATAGCCTACTGGATATAAAAACAAAAATTCGAAGTCAGTAGTCCTAATAAGATAAAACTGTGACTGTGATACATCACTAGAAAAGAAATTCAATGCTGACTTTAAATCTGTAAAAATCCAATATGGCGTCCATGAGAAAAATCGAAGTTGTAGGTGATATCTCATTGACATTGACATTTTGATGGAAAACTGACAAAACCATTGAAAAGAACACCAAAAAGTGCTATGGGAATGTTGACGTAATTTTTTCATAAAATAAATAGTTTCCGAGATATTCGAGAAAAACAAAAATAAAAGATTTCATTGTTCCTTAAATAACTCAAGAATGACTTAAGCTAGCCTGGATTTCTTGATAGATTCTAATTCAGCATTAAATTTGCTACAACTTTGCTAATTTAACTGTTTCTCTGTGAGGATCGAATTTGGGACACACTGATGTATAGTCTCATTGATAGGAAGACGACAAGTTTACAAAATCACATTTCCGTGTCTAACTATTATTTTTCAAATGGCAGCCATTTTTTGACAAGCAAAGGATTTCTTGAGGAATCTAACGATACTAATTTATTTGCGACTAGACTAACATAAATTTAATATTACTAAGGAAAATATTGGATATTCATTTATTCTCATTTGTCAAGTGTGCGATGGATAGCCATGATTCATAATATTTAGGTATTTTTTTAGAGTCATCTATGTGAAACCTGGTGAAACAAAACACTCAGGTATCCACTTCCCACTTCGATTATACATTATTTTGACAGATAATATAACTGAAATTCAACGGAAATAATAGTAGATTGTTTCATCAGGATCAAAAGTGACACTTTGTTTGACAAGCGAATTTTGCATTTGCGAAGCGGAGCGTTTAGCGAAGCCGAACGAAAGCAAAATTTGCGAGTCAAACAAAGTCACTTTTGATCCGAATGAATTATGCTATTTTTTCAGCGACCGAAACAATTTGTGAAGTAACCACCAATGCCGTGCCATATGCATGCAATGCAACAAACAAATAATCCGTGTGGTGAGAATATTCTACCTGTATTAACAGCAGGAACTGAAGTTCAATTTTAGCTCCTAGGAGCTGAAGTTCAACTTTAGCTCCTAGGAGCTGAAGTTCAACTTTAGCTCCTAGGAACTAAAGTTCAGTTTAAGCTCCTAGGAAATGAATATATGTTGCCTAGCAACATCCCTATTTTTGTGTCAGTAATCGGAACGTCAATTCAAGAGCTAATTTTGGTATCAAAACGGACGACTTTTGTGTCGGTTGCAGAAAAATGTATGTCTTCTCACCTAAAAGAGGCCTAGGTACGTCGTACGCCTCCCCAGTGGAGTCCCTAGGCGAGGCGTGCGAGGAGGGCGAGGGGGAGCATCGGGGACAGCTCTTGGAGCCCCCCTCGGTGAGGGGCACGGCGCGCGGCGGCACGTCGTAGTCCTCGGCGGAGGAGGCGGCAGAGGAAGGGGTGGGGCTCAGGCCGCCGCCGAGGGGGGTGGCTGCCCCACGGAGGTGCGGAGCGCATCTGGACGGCGGCATGTCGTACAGATAGACATCGTTGAATTTCTTCGGGGTGATTACCTGCAACAAGAATTTGGTTTAGTGCTTGTGTATGACTCCATTTAATAATAATAAAGGGTTTTCCAACAAGCAGGGTTGGAAAAAATCATGATTTTTTAAAAGAATTCAAAAATCGTGATTTTTATTAAAAAAATCAAAAAAATCAAAGTAAAACGTGATTTTTTCAAGTTTTTTTTTATTTTGAATAATAATCGATATGTTTAGATCCATTGTAAGTACATATGTATTTTTACATGCAAACGCAAACAATAACAAATAGCATTTTCCTGTTTTGACATAATATCTTGTATTGGTTTATTCTTGTCAGACCTTGCGAAATCCCAACCCTGCCTTACAATGGTGGGTTTCACAAAAGAATATTCCTGAAGTTGCTTAACTTCTTCCTATTCTGAATATTTATTTATTATACAAGGGAAAAAAGTAGTGAATTTTAGCTCAAGGCCTCCAGGTTGTGTTGTCTCCCGACGCGTAGCGGATGGAGACAAAAAACCGTGAGCTAAAATCTAAAATTTTTTCCGTGTATAATACACTGTTTCTTTTCTGTGACAGAAGGAAGGACGAATCAATATTGAGAAGATATGACATTATTTTGAAATCTGAAAATTATTGATGTGAAATTTTGAGTTTTTAACAGTAGGGACACCTGCGTTGTAGGCATCTTTCAAGGTCTATTAACTTCTCTTTATCATTCTGATGTCACTTCTGTCAGTCTAATTCTGCTGTGATTTGATTTCAAAAAATTGCGAATTTAGTGGTTGTTTAGTAATATACGTAACCGCCAAGTCGAATGGAAGATAAAAGGACTTGCAGTTCTTTCTCGGAGACGGTATTATTGACTCATTTTTCGGAACTAGAGCACAACAAAAGCCATCATCAGTGTATATATATGTGATATATATCCGGGAAAAATGTTCTCACTTTTTTCCCACGGAAAAAAAGTAATTTATGAAAACTGACATTTTATAACCTGCCAACAGGGATGATATGCTAAACTTTTTTTCCGTCACAGAAAAATAGAATATTGTGCAACAAGTGAGAAAAGTGCTTTTCCCCACATGTTGCACACTATACTTTTTCTACAACTTATTCAAAGAATCCAAAGTAAAATGTAAATATTGGTATTCATTTTATAATGTGGCACTATGCCACATTGAATATTGTGAATCTATGTTGTGACCAAAGAGTAGACGCCCTTTCTAGTTCCTCAAAGTATTTAAAAAAAGTACCCTTTCCGAAAAAGATTTTATTTCTGTATTTTTTTTAGAATCCATAAGTTTTTCGTTTATGCCAATTCATACTTTTTTCTTGAGATTTCCGAAAACAAATCCAACTTTCGCAGCTTCTTCCATTATCTCTGTCTCTGGCGGTGTATTTATCAAAATCGTTACATCTCGGTATATACAGGGTGGCCCACGGTCGATGGTACCTTAGACGTATACGGAAAACGGTACATTGGATTATCCTGAAAATTTGGTTACTCTAATAAGCGTTTGTGATCTAACGATTCAAAATATTTTCAGCGAAGCAGCGTTGCCACTTTTACCAAAAAGTAGCATCATCTTTGTTATTTCAAATGGAACACCCTGTATTTCATTGCGTTTTTAGATTCTTCTCAAATAGCTGATTCCATCAATGTATCACACTTGGGGTCTAGCAGGAATTATTACAGAGATATATATAGGGTGTTCAAAATCGAGATTTTTCAACTTTAGGATTTTTTTCTGTCGAAACTATTATTGGTCAAGACGGCTTACATATCCCTATATCAACTTTTGATTAACTATCTACCGACATTTAACTGAAAAAAAATACAGGATGGTCCAAGATTCAGAATTTTGATCACCCTGTATCTGTTCCAATTAAATGTCAGTAGATAGTGAATCAAAAGTTAAGATAGGGACATGTAAGTCGTTTTGATCGATAATGAATAGTTTTGACACAAAAAATTCCTGAAATTGAAAAATCTCGATTTTGAACACCTTTCATCTCTGCTATAATTCCTGCTAGACCCCAAGTGTGATGCATTGATGAAATCAGCTCTTCGAGAAAAATCTAAAAACGCAATGAAATACAGGGTGTTCCATTTGAAATAACAAAGATGATGCTACTTTTTGGCAAAAGTGGCAACGCTGCATCGCTGAAAATATTTTGAATCGTTAGATCACAAACGCTTATTAGAGTAACCAAATTTTCAGGATAATCCAATGTACCGTTCTCCGTATACGTCTAAGGTACCATCGACCGTGGGCCACCCTGTACATTATATCATTTATTATGAATTGTTGAAATAATATTTGATGGAAAATGCGATTTCTATCAAAAGCACTAATGAGAACTACCCTAAATAAATTAAAAAACTTCTTCTGACAGTTGTGACAACTATACAAAGCTGAACACCAGCCAAGTTTTGGTCGATTTTTGTTGATTTTCCATGGAAATGTATGTGGTGTTGGCAAAGTGACGTGAGAAAAAATATTTCTCACAGTATGAGCAATACATGGTTTTGAAACTAAGTTAGCTATGAGGAATGCATTACTTTTCATAGCAGTAGTAGAAAATAGTATATTGTGCAACAAGTTTGGAAAGTTCACCTTTTCTCACGAGTGTGAAAGATTGTGGCACGAGCCTGAAGGGCGAGATCTAAATACACACATTTTCCTATGTTTTTAATCTGTATACCTACTTTTAACATGTCTACTGAAATGTTTGTATACAGTGTGTCCCACTTACCATGCTCACCATGGGTATCTTTTTAACGGTGAGAGATACGAGGTCGGTTAAATGACACCAAATGTGGAGTTTGTCATGGCCAACTATAATGTGAAGAAATATTCTGATAAAATCTATTCGTTTTTGTTTTATACGCAAAAAACAGATTTTGATCATTTTCATGTCTCCTCCGTAACTTCTTTATTCATGAAAATATTCAAATAGGAATTTCACAATCTCATGGTAGTTTTTTAAAGTGATTTCGAAAAAAATATGAAATTTATACCAACTCTTCTAGAATTTGAGATATCAGCACCAACTTTAGTTTTTCAAATGTAGGTCATAGCTCACTATGACTTAGTTACAAATAACTTTTTTTTCTCTCACCGATGATATGTCGCAGTAATAGTTTTGTGTTGATAACAACGGTGTTATCGTCATTTATACAAAAACAAAAAATTATTTGGAAGCCTCCATCTTGAATTTATTAATTTTTAACACAAAAATCATGATCTCCGACGATAACTTCGTTGTTATCAACACAAAACTATTACTGCGACATATCATCTGTGAGAGAAAAAAAAGTTATTTGTAACTAAGTCATAGTGAGCTATGACCTACATTTGAAAAACTAAAGTTGGTGCTGATATCTCAAATTCTAGAAGAGTTGGTATAAATTTCATATTTTTTCCGAAATTACTTTAAAAAACTGCCATGAGAATGTGAAATTCCTATTTGAATATTTTCATAAATAAAGAAGTTACGGAGGAGACATGAAAATGATCAAAATCTGTTTTTTGCGTATAAAACAAAAACGGATAGATTTTATCGAAATATTTTTTCACATTATAGTTGGCCTTGACAAACTCCACCTTTGGTGTCATTTAACCGACCTCGTATCTCTCACCGTTAAAAAGATACCCATGGTGAGCATGGTAAGTGGGACACACTGTATGTATATGTAATTTTTCTTTTTTATCCTGTGAAGTTTGACTTGTCATTGTACCAAATTACTTGATATGGCCATTGAATTTACTACTATGACTACTACTATTGCGAGGCACTATCGAACGTACTGTTCGGAACACCCGGTACAACACTGACTGCACCTTCGAAGAAACCTTCGTCATCTTTATTCCTTGAATTTGGCGAACCGTGAAACCTCGCAAAGAGAACGATAAAACGATATGATACATGATGGTATATCCAAGTAAGGATACCAACGCTGGAATTAAAACTTGATTTGAAGAAGTAGATTTCACCTTAGATGTACACGAAGTACGCAAAGAGAATTCCTCATGGAGTCAAGTTTATTTATAGGCCTTATTCATTACGAGAAGCGTTTTATTTGCCCAGCTATACACGACTTCGCGTATAGTCACTAGCTTTTTAGCTTTTATCATTTTATGAAAAGTCTCACGGAAATGCGATCCATTAATAACATGATAAGTACAGAAAATTTATGATAATATTAGTGCGTGCATATGCATAAACTTACAGATTTAATATACATATCCTTTGAGTACCTCTATTACAATTATTAGAAAACATTCCATTACTTTTAATTTTTGTTATAGATTCATCTCGGAGTTCATTAACTCTGTAAGACCTAGTTGATTTTTATTAGATCATCACATCACTTATAGATAGAAATACTTTTCATCAGCACACAATACTAATCACAATGTTGGTGTCACTGGTGATATCATCAGGTCATTTATGGATAATGAGAAAAACATAGGGTCCAGTACTGATCCTTGCGGGACACCCATGTCACTATGTCTACTACCGTATGATGTTCCTTTTTAACGGTAGTTACTTTTCTACTTCACCTCGTATGTTCAATTATATTGAAACAAAGACTACAACTTCAGGACAATTGAAATGCAAGGATTTTGTGAATCATACATTATTTGCAATGAAGCCTTCACATCCGTAAATAAATTCAATGGAAAACAATAGTTTGTTGTTTGTTGCTTTCGAAGTCAGTAATAAATGATATACTGGATTCTTCGATTGTACTTCCGACTGATAAAAACAAGGTTGGGGACATGACACACTAATGTTATAGTTAGGTATGCGCTTATAATTTTAACAGTAAACCTGCTTCCCAAAATAATAATTACTATAAAAAAACTAAATAAAATAATTACCTGCATGATGACTGTGCGAATTGAATCGGATTTCTCACATTTCCCTGCCTTATAATAATTGTTTTTTTGGCCCAGAATTTAGGAATTGGGATCAGTGAAACTGTAAATCCGTATCATCAGTAGTAATACTATAAGTAC